CCGATCTCCCCAAAACCCCAAAACCCCAAAACCCCGTAAGACAATAATTATGAAATGCAAATCAAGTTAAAATTGAAAATAATAGGATTCATAAAATTGAAATTTTAAAATCTTTGAATTATGAAAGCCAGTACATTAACAGCATCTATTGTGTCAACAGGGACCGCTCACAACAATGATTATAGCAGTGGTACTACTTACACTAAGGATCAGACTTATTTTTACTGTGTCATGCCTGGAAATTATCCATCAACTATGAGAACAGTTATGAATAAAAGAGGGAATTGGGTTGAGGTAAGAAATTTCGCGTAAATCTCTGATCTATTAGGTTGCTTAAGAAGAAGCAATTGAGACATGTAATTATGTTTTTAGGCCAGTTAACTTTGGTTTCACTGTAAATTTCCAAATGTTGATTATTTTAGGGATATGATAAAATAGACAAGAGATTACTCAGAGATCCTAGTCCTTTTATATACAATCATTTTGAAGTTATTCGTGGTCTTGTCACTAAAACAGGTTTGATCAGATCCCTAAAAGCTTATTATAAAGCTAATACAGCAGCAAAATATTCAGGTTATAATGTATTTGATAGTACCCCCACAACTTTCCTTGTTTCGAGCAATCAAGATGACCATGAGATCACTTAGTTTATGTATAGATTTAAGGAGATCCATAATGGTGGTAGTAAGAAGGAGAGAATCCCATACAAACACTGTGAGGACAATATTTGGTTAGTGAAACCGGCAGCTATGAATCAAGGCAAAGGAATTGAAATATTCAGAAATATAAAGGACATCTAGCAATTCATATTCACTAGACCAAGCAATAGTCTATGGGTTGTACAAAAATACATTGAAAAACCAATGCTCTACAAGCAAAGGAAATTTGATCTTAGAATCTGGTCTCTACTTACAAATGACATGAGTTTGTATGTTTACAAAAAAGGTTATATGAGAACATCAAGTGATGACTACTCCCTTAGTAACAAGAATAACTATGTGCATTTGACTAACAACTGTCTATAAAAATATGGAGATAACTATGGGAAGCATGAGGATGGAAACACCTTAGGTTTTGAAAAGTTGCAGGAATATTTGGATCAGACATATCCTCAGTATAACATTAGTGTTGAGGAGCATTTCATGCCAAGAATAAAGGATCTTATCATTGATACTATCCTCTCTGTGAAAGGGCAGTTAAATCCAAATAAAAGGAAACATGTGTTTGAGTTATTCGGATATGATTTCCTAATCGATGAGGATTTTAGAGTCTGGCTAATCGAAGTCAACACAAATCCTTATTTTGGAATAGCCAATGAATACATTGCGGATTTATTGCCAAAGATGATAGATGATTTCACTAAAATTGTTGTAGATCCGATTTATCCTCCAAAATTTGTAGATGAAAGAGAAAATCTCTTTGAGCTTTTGTAAGCTAATTCATTTTACTAATGAATAAATTAGGTATTCTGAAACAGGGGATAATCAAGTAAACAAGAGAAGTCCATTCTCTTATGACTCACTTTATCCAGTCCAAGAATTAAAGTAGCAAATAGGAACTGCTAAAAATAAAAGCAAGGTAAAATTCTTTGGTATTAGATTGATTTTTAGAAAGACCCAATTTTACTCTTGAAGCCTAGGTAAAGCTAATAAACTGCTTAGACTAGTACCATTTAGCCAGTAAGCAGTACACTTTAAGGTCAAAATTAAACTGTAATCCCAAATTCAAAGCAATAGAGTAATCCAACTCTGACACCTTAAAAGGAAAGATCTAAAAGTTTGATATCTACTAAGCCGATTATTAAATCTTAACAGAGTGCTTTGAATGAGAAAGGCTCTAATAGCTCAAACAATAACTCGTAATCGAGACCTTCACATAATAGTATGTCTTAAAATAGACAAGCTAACAATAAGAAGCTTTCTGTAGAAAAGTACCAATCAAATATAATGAATAAAAAGGACATGCTTATTGCTGAAAAAATTGAGGAGGAAGATAAAAACAGTGACTTCTCAGATGATGATGCTAAGAATCAAACCAAAAAAATAAAGGGAGTTTTGAATAACAAACAGAGCAAAAAGAATTACCTCTAAAAGAACATACTAGATTAGACTAAAGAACTTTGTTATGAACATGCCTCTCATTATAAAGATTTTGATAGTGTATTCTTGAAGATTCTTACAAGATTTCAGCAATGGGAAATATTTGATGATGACGAAATTTAACTTGCATGTTAAAGTATAAAGATCCTTGCTAGTAGTGGCTAAGTAGTCAGTTTAATTCAAGAAAGAAACTTACTTAAGCTTGTTACTATTTATGATTCAGTTGATGTAGAAATATAAGTGAGATAAGCTATTGTAAGATTCAAATTCAAATTAATTAATGTTCTTAGATAGAAAGTTTCCTTCTTGTTGCCAAAAACACAGGTTTAAGGAAAGTTTTTATGAGACAGCAAGTCCTTCATTGTTTAATAAAGCACTCTTTGATGGTAGTTGATGAAAGATAGGTTTCCGATCGTACCAAGGCAATTAAAGAATCGTCTATCAAACTATTATGCATGCTTTGCACAGTAAAGACAAACAGATTCTATATACCAGGAGAGACTAATCTAGTTGAAAGACTGAGAAAGATGTCCTTTGACAAGGGTATTTTCGCTACTCTTTCTTTAATTTTTCAACTAATGAATAAGGATAAAAATAGCAATTCAAATAATGAAACAAAGCTATAAGTTAGAGAGAAAGTATTGAATCTTTTGGAATTAAATGACCTAGTTTACCATGCTAACGTTATTGAGGCGTTAATAGAAAAGATTAAGAACTAACCTAAAGAATAACAAAATTAGATCTTGAACGAGAGTATGCAAAATGATAACGAGGATCAAGAGAATTTAAATAATTCAAGCATAATTCTGGATCAAACTCCTTTAAAGACAAAGTAAAAGGCTTCTGGTTAATAACATCAAAGATCACAGTAATCCCCAAAGCCTGCTCTCGGAAAATAAAATTTAAATGGGTAATCAAGTGGAACTGCTCCAAGTTAATACCTTTCCAATAGAGGTGAAAAAATAAAAGCTACTTCTGAAATAGATAATAAACTTAGCGGCAGCTTTATAATGACAGGAAGCGCAGGTGCTTAGAAAGAAAACATCTTTCAAAGAGATGAAAAGTTAAATAGCAATGAAATTTGGAAAGAACCTCCTGAACCTGATTTTCCTCAATGCTTGCTTGATAAATTAGATCTGACTGAATTTCATCAGGAATTAGTTGATAAGGCAGAAAATTTGAGAGAGCGACTTTAACAAAGAAAAGAGGAAGAGGAAAAGAAAAAGCAAGAAAAGGAGTATGAGGAAATGAAAAAGGAGCAGGAAAAGAAGCAACAGCAATTAGAAAAAATGCAAAAACTTTCCAAAAAAATTGAAGAAAACAAGCAGAAGTAATAGTAATTGAAATAAGAAAAGAAGATCGAAGAAGAGAAAAAGAAAACACTTGCTTAGATTACAAATATGTAGCCACCTGGAAAGTTTGCTATAACTTAGAAAAAAGGCACAACGATAAACATTGTTAACAAGAATAGCAATAATAGCAAAGGATAAAGTCTGAGAAAAACTTTAAGTAATACAGATGAAGTGAATGCTGATAAGATTTAGATATAGCAAATCAACAATGAGCAGATTTAATCTCAATTGGATTCCGAGGATAATAATACTTAGGCAACTGAGGATTAAATCATTTCTCAGAATGATTAGGTTGACAGCAACATTCAACAAGATGAAATTATAGATGAAGTACAAGAATGAAAAAGAATATAATATATTCAATAATGTTAATAAGACATATCTATCAATCATTATCTTTAATTAAAATTTATCATTTATTTAGACTTTATGGGGTTTTGGGGTTTTGGGG